TTTTTTTGTGTCTGTTACCACTTTTTCTCAGCTCTCACCGAACCGATTTCTTTCAACGATACGTCAAAAGATCACAAATCGTATCTAGTCGAAGACATTACCCTTAAAAATTGAAAAAATTTTCCTCGTTCCCCGTAAATGGGGAAACCTCCAAAAAAATTACAAATTTAAAAATCGCTAATTTTCGAAATTTTTTCAATTATTTTTACTAAAAACTGCCGTAACTTTCTTAAAAATGAACATATTAATATAATTTTTTTTTTTATAGATGCTTGATGTCTTTCCTATCATTTGGTATATTTTTTTTGTAAATTTGACCCTTTATCTGCCCACAGGGAAGGATTTAAAATGACAACTTTTTCACAAAAAATTAACTTTTGAAAATGTTCCGGAAGGTCTGACACTTTTATATATATCTTAGCTTATAAATTAAAGCTAATGTAATGTACTTTATTATGAAAAAAATNACTAATGTAATTTACTTTATTATGAAAAAAAAAAATTTAACCTCTGGACTTGTCTTCGCGGCGAAAATGGCTACCAAATGCTATTTTCGTGTGAAAATTCTGGATTTTATTTTTTATATTTTTAACTTTATAATGCTATAACTTATTGAAAAGTGTATGGATCAACACAATTTTTTTATGAGAAATAATATTTTTTAATAATCCCTTTTTCATTCGACATACTTTTTCTTAATCAAGATATTAATAAGGAATTAGCAGATCATTTGGAATAATGCACCAATTTTTTTTAAATTAAACACAATCTAAAGATTTGCATCGAAGCGTTTATTTTTGATAGTGATTTTAATCACTGTCAGATATCATTATACTTGATCCAACTATACCACGGCACCACTGTGCCGCGACCCTCTGTGCTGGGTTTTTTTTTTTCAAAATACTTTTCTAGTATAAGTTAATAAAATTTAATAAGGGCTCTACTATAGTTATGTATTATGTCACAAATGATACAAATGGTAAAATATTTATACATACTTTGAAATTACAAAAAAAGTGCCCAATTTGTGGATACAACGATGCCATTGTTTTTCGTTTTATGAATGATGCTATCCCTTCTATATTATCAGTATTCAGTCGTGTAAGTAAAATTGCATCTAATCTATCTAAATGTCTAGCAAAACCCCAAAAACATGAATTTCTTCCAGCACCTCCATCAAGTAACATATTAAATCCATTAATACCAAACAACGCACAGTCACCTTGTCCAGCGGGAAAAACATAAAGTGTCGGTTTACTAAATCTGATATTTCCAACTACTTGTGAGCCTTCAAGTAGTGTATTAAGTTCAACAACATTGATTTTATCACACAGCCATCTAATTATAGCACTTATTGAGTTATTATCAATTGAGTTCTTTGACGAATTTAATGTAAAACAAGTGCCTCTTAAACGGCATATTTGATTCCATTCACCATTCACTGAGCACTGAAGTTCTACATGAATTTTACTTTCGTGAAGTTTGACAACACGCTGAACTTCAGATGTCTTATAAGCTTCCAAAAAATCCACCACAGCAAATGTCCCATCCTAAAATTTATAAAAAAAATCTATTTTAAAGAAAATGTACAAATTAAATAACCAAGTATGATAAGAGTTCAATTATCTTAAATATAATATTAATTATTATTTATATTATTTAATTATATTACTACTAGAGTTATTCTTATTATTTTTTAGAAGTTCCGGTGGAATAACTTAAAAACTTCTGCTTTATAGTTTGAGAATTTTACCCTTAAAATTATAGAAAGTTGTAATTTCGGACAAATAAAATTTTCATGAAAAAAAATTATCTAATGATAATTCAATTCTTTATATGAGTATTTTTGTATTTATTTTGATAATCACTTTTGATTTAAATAAACAGATTGTCTAACTATAAATCACGCAATAACTTTGAATATATAAAACATATTACAATTTTCCTTATTATAACTTAATAGTATCCTATATTATATAATTTACAAAAATCAATTTGGTACTATTCAACCCTCTCTCCCTTATTTAATAGTACCAACTTGAATTTTTTTTTATGAAAAAAACTTAAAAATTTAAAACTGAAATTATATTATTATATATGTATATTTGATAAAGCACTGGAAGTTATTAAAGAAATAGCTAATTTGAATAGGTATGGCAAAAATGTTATTTCAAAATTAGTACGAACACATAAGTAGAATAAAAAAGGAGGGTAACTAGTACACACCCTAGCGTGTGGAAACAAAAAGAAATTAGGTAGCCCATTTTATATATCGAATGGCTAGCTAAATTTTTTTTTTTTTTTAATTTTGGTATTGCTAAAGTAACGGTCCCCGTGGATAGGGGATAAGAATACGTACACGGCCCCTCTGCCAGTCAAAAGAGGTGACTAATGAGGTTGCGTCAGGTCGACAGCCGGCGTAAAATTTTTGTCCCATAGTATAAGGTGTCCTGAACAAAACTTAGACGAATTGTCTCAAAAAATCTCGGATGTACGCGGGGACAACAGGTGATAGGGAATAAAGAAGTTGAAAACGGAGGAGGCCTAAGGAATAAAGTGTTTGATACCAGCCGCACAACTTGTGTGGTAGCTGTTTCATCAGTAAAGTTTACAGGTCTACACAACGCTTGTAGTGTCAACAGTATAGGGACATTGACTCTAAGCTGGACTCGTGTATAAGGGAGAAAGATAGATACAAAGTAAGAATAGGTACTTGGAATGTTGGAACATTAACTGGTAGAAGTAGAGAATTAATAGAAATATTAAAGAGGAGAAAATTTAACATTTGTTGTGTGCAGGAAACTAAGTGGAAAAGAAAAAAATCTAGGGAAATAGATGATGGTGTAGCGATAATAATGGATGAGGAGATGAAAAGTAAAGTAGTAGAAGTAGCTAAGAAAAGTGACAGAATTATGGTCGTAAAATTGATATTCGAGGAAAAGTGCTGAATGTAAAAAGTGCTTATGCACCATAAGTAGGATGTGATGAAATAGACAAGGAAGTGTTTTGGTGAGAGATGAATGAGGTGATGCAAGGGGTACTTGGAAATGAGGATACGGTGATAGGAGATATGAATGGACGTGTAGGTAATGAGAGAAGAGGATATGAAAGAGTACATGGAGGGTATAGTTTTAGTATGAAGAATGAGGCTGGAGAAAGAATCCTGGATTTTGCAGTATAGAAGATATCTCGTGGAATGAGAGACAATAATTAGTGAGAAGGAGGTATCGGAGGCTGTGAAGTTAATGAAAAAGAATAAAGCAGTGGGACTAGATGAAGTGCCAGTAGAAGTATGGAGAATATTAGGCGGTGTTAGTAAAATGGTGGTTGAAGGAACTTTTAAATAAAATCTAATTAGAAGGGAAAATTCCTAATGAATGGAGGAATAGTATTGTGGTGCCGATATTTAAAGGTAAAGGTGACATACAGGAGTGTGGAAATTATAGGGGCTTAAAACTTACGAGTATGAAAATTTGGGAAAAGGTAATAAATAAGAGAATAAGATATGAGACATCGGTATCTAAAAACAAGTTTGGATTTATTCATGGTAAGTCAACAATGGAGTCAGTATTTTGTGTGAAGGGCAACTAATAGAAAAGTTTAGGGAAAAGAAGAGAAAGCTTTGTATGGTATTTATAGATTTGGGGAAAGTGTATGATAGAGTACCGAGAGAGGATTTAAAGTGGGCATAAATGAGAAAAGGAGTCCCGAAAAGGTACATTAATATAGTAGAAGATATGTATGTTGGCACTTGTACCAGGGTAAAAAGTGTAGGAGGAGTATCAGAAGGTTTTTGGGTAAGAGTAGGAGTGCACCTAGGTTCTGCTTTTAGCCCTTATTTTTTCTTTATAGTGATAGATGAAATTACTAGAAAAATACAAGGTGAGGTGCCTTAGTAATAAGTAGAAGTACGACAGAGTATATAGAGTACAAGTTTAACAAATGAAAACACGAGGTAGTTGAAATGATGAGGTCAGTGACAATAGACGAGGATGTGATTGGAGAGATGGAGAGTTTTTAGTATTTAGGGTCAATTGTGCAAAAGAGTGGTGGTATTGACGAGGATGTAAGGCATAGGATTAAGTGTGGGTGGTTGAAGTGGAGAGAAGCGTCTAGTGTCTTATGCGATAAAAGAATTCCAATAAGACTGAAAGATAAATTCTACAAGACTGTAGTGATACCAGCTATGATGTATAGTTCAGAGTGTTGGGCCATTGATAAGAAAGTAAAGCAGAGAATGAGTGTAGCAATGATGAGAATGGATGAGTGGAGTGACTAGAAAAGATAGGATAAGGTACGAGCACATAAGAGAGAATATAGGTGTAGCGTATATTGTGGATAAAATGAGAGAAAATAGACTTAGATGATTTGGTCATGTTATGAGGATTGAAGAACCAAAAGCTGTAAGAATAGTTATAGAAATTAATGTTGAAGGAAAAAGAGGTAGAGGAAAACCAAAAAAGAGATGGAGGGATGCTATTGAATACGATATGAGGACAGCTGATGTGAGTGTAGATGATGTGGGAGATCATGTCTAGTGAAAGTTTAGGATAAGGGTGGCCAACCCCAAGTAGTTGGTATTAAAGCGAGGAAGAAGGAGGTGTCAGTATATGTTAAGCTCTAACGATGGTAACATAGTTTATGAACTATGTATATACGAAATTCTAGTATTTTTTGTTGCAATTTAAGTTAAATATTTTAAATACTATTTAATTTTAAATTAAAGGGTGGCCGACTCTAAGTACTTGGGATTAAGGCGAGGAAGAAGAAGTGGAGGTATTGCTTTTATAACATCTCAGAGATATATTGGATAATCCTCAAGATAAAGTAAAAGAAGGAGAAAAATAGGGCATCAATAAAATACAATGTGAAGGTTGTAATAAATGTTACTTAGGACAAATAAAAAAACAGAAAAACTAGATAAATCTCCTGTGATTGAACATTTATTAACACATAACCACTCTGTTAAAACCATAAATTAATTACAAAGATCTTAATATAATAGAGATAAGATATATTTATAAATAAGAATAATTTAATTAATTGTTATCTAAGTTATATGCAAAATGTATTATTAAACTTGTTTAAACTGACAAAATGTGACAATAGATTAGGTGATAATACAACTAAGTGATAACGTCTCTAGATGATAAGATGACTGGCTGTATATAAGGGACTATTTGTCAGGTCTATATATCAGTATGCGATTGAAGATGATTAATATGAGCTCCAAACGCATACAATGTTTATAATTGCCCAGGGATAAAATAAATAGACTCTTACTACTTCTTCTGCCGTAGTATAAAAATGTTAATATTCTTCAAAATACTGGTGCAAAAGTTGGTATTCAGCAGACATTTTCTTAATTCAACCATTTCATAATTTTTAAATTCGTTAAATAAATATGTTTCTTCTATTTAATATACTAAAGTTAGTACTATTTTAAAGAAAACTATAGGGGACAGGACCAATTTTTTTTTTGAAAATCATAGAACATATGACACTATTATCTTCTGAAAAGAGAAAATTGTAATATTTTTTAAAATTTTAAAGTTATTGTGTAATAAGCATAGGCAATCAATCACTCTGTATATTATCAGGTAGCTTTGTAACCTATTTTTGAGACAAAAAGTTTTGGATTTGATTTTGCTATCTTTAGGATATGCAAATATTACCAATATCCAACTACATTCATTATTGCTTCAAGTTGTATTTACAGTATACGAGAGAGAAAAATATAGGAATATATATAATTTTGAATTAGCATCCTTTTTGTTTAATTTACGCCAATATATTTTCCTATGTGAATTAAAAACAAGTATGTATTGTAAAATTGACCCATAAATGTAATATTGTATGTAAACTTTAAATAAAGAAATATGTATAAAATATCCCTAAATATGCAATTCAATCTAAATAAAATTTCTTTAGCTGTTTTCTTATATTTTATTAGTGATTTTCTATATCACCTAGCATTAGCTAGGACTAAGAATATTGATATACAATTGTATTATCTTTTATAAGCTACATAACTTTTAAAAAATTAAATTTTTTTTATAAGGTTAGCTATATAAACCTTTATGCCGTTGAATCCTACAATGCGCCTTGTTTCACATTTTAGACGTTTTAAATCTATTTGGAAATGGATAAAACATTTGTTGGTAATTATTATTGTTTTTAGTAAAATAAATTGTTTTTTATGTTTTAATCGCTTTTCAAAGTCTTCTTAATTGATTAAATTTAAAAAATTGATTTCAACGGAAAAATAATTGTACTTTAAAGAGATAAGAATCGTTCAACAAATTGTCATTGAATTATTTTACTTATTATTTGCAACAAATATTAACTGACCTGTAAGATCCATGCTCCGTTTTCCGTAAATGAGTATCCAGCATAAATAATCAATCTATATTTCGTTAAGCTCGCAAGTAAATTTCTGATACATTGCACTAATGTAATATAATGTGGATTAATTAAAATTTCAGCAACTAAGTTATCACTCGCATACTGAAACAATTGTTCTCCTAAAAATATATAATTAATATTTATTTTAGAGAATCATTCAATGTTTCTAATATCTGCAGTATGATATAAACTGTTACTAATACCCAAGAAAAACAAAAAATAATTTTTGCCTTGTATAATTTTATTAATTCTAAATATTAATCTAATTTACCAATATCTCAATTATTATGAATTATTACGATAAAAAAAATTGTTTTTTGTTTTCACTAAACTAATTTTCTATTTGCTTAACATAAAAAAATTTAAAAATTACTGACTGAAAATTGTAAAAAATATTTTAGCCATGAAACTACTTATTTTTAATATTTTCTTTTATTTCTTTATTCTTTTGTTAAAATTGCCTTAGTATGAAATATTAAAGCAATTATTATTATTATTATTATTGTATAAATAAGTTTTTAGTAAGATTTGAATGCAATTTATCAGCGTAATTCGAGAGCGAAAAAATTCATTTTTAAATAATATCTTATGAGTACTTAAAACCTAGGACATTTTTAATGCAAAGAAAAGAGGTACAAAATGAGCATAGTTAGTAAGGAAGTCAATTGTACTAAGCTACTTGAATATCTTTAATGAATGATAAAGATTTTTCGTAGTTTAATCACTAACCATTTGAATGATACAAGGGGAAAACGATAGTAGTCAATTTTTATAAATTTTTCAGGAAAGCAATAAAAAAATTATAAATTCCTACCCATTTAATAATAAATTAAAAATAGACGTTTGAGTATAAATACGATGAAAAATTTTCCCACCCTATTTAGTCGAAAAATTATTCCACCAAATATATTTTATAACGTGACATTACTACTAATGAACTTTTGAATCAAAAGATGAAATCAAAATCCAAAACAGTGGAATATTAACATTTTTTTTCTATACTCTTCAATTAATACTAAAAATATTTCATTAAAATACATAGCTTAAATAATTATATTCAAAATTAATACCTATAGGAAAATATTGGGATAAAAAAAATTTATGATCAAAAAAATAATCTTTTTTATTACTAAAATAATATATTTATAAACTGAACTGATTAAACACTATAATAATTTTAATATTTAAAAATTATCATAAGGTGATGGAAAATACTTCTTTATTATATTTATATATTAAGTAAAATTGTACTTAGTTTTAGCTTTGATGCGAAACTGAGAAGCTTTTGGTTTCACTATGATGTGTTTTTTTTTTTGTATGTCTGTTACCACTTTTTCTCAGCTCTCACCGAACCGATTTCTTTCAACGATACAACGAATGATCACAAATCGTATCTAGTCGAAGAAATTACCATAAAAATTGAAAAAATTTCCCTCGTTCCTCATAAATGAGGAAAATCTCCAAAAAAATTACAAATTTAAAAGTTGTTAATTTTCGAATTTTTTCAATTTTTTTACTTAAAACTGCCATAGCTTTTTTAAAAATGACTAAATCAATAAAAATATTTTTATAGAAGCATGATGTTTTTATCTATCATTTGGTATATTTTTTTATAAATCTGACCCTTTACCTGCCCACAGGGGGGATTCCAAATAACAACTTTTTCAACTTAACTTTTGAAAGTTTTCCAGAAAGTCTTACTGTTTTATATATACCTTAAATTAAATCTAATGTAATGTACTTTATTATGGAAAAAAAATCCGTAAAAATTACAATATAAAGTATTGAATATCAATTTCATACTAAATGTAATTATTATTATTATTATTTATTCATATATTATAATTAATATCTAATCGGGATAAAATTAAATATTATCTACAGATTTTCATTAAAGCGTTTCTTATGATAGTGATTTTAATCACTGTCAGATATCATCTATACTTGTACTAACTATGCCACGTCCATACTGTGCTACAGTTTTTTTAATTTTTAATAATTTAATATGCAGGTAAAAAAAGCTTAGTGAATATGATTTACACTAAAAATGTCTATATAGAAATAAAGCGAAAATTAATTTTAGTATTGATAGTTACCGTCTTTTCCTTCTTCGCCTTCAATATTCTGATTTACAATAGCGTCAATCTCATTTACTAAATTAACACCACTTTCTTCAGTATTCCAATATGAAAGTCCTAAAATTTTAAAAATCAAAACATTATTATACTATATTTAAATTATGAATTCAAGTAAAATACAAATAAATATTTAAAAACCACTATAGTGAAAATACGATATAATGGAGATGACTCAATGTTGAAATTAGTATTGTTTGATATTTAACAGCGATTAACAACACTATCATAAAGCTTTTCGAAGTAAATGTATTTAAAGAATTATTAAGGAAATTTTTTTGAATTAAGGGTTTTTCCAGCAACGGACTAACCACTCGTCTCGGAGTATCAATGGTTAAGAAACTCCTTTCTTCGAAGGAGACCGCTATAGCCCTTAATAGGCTTATAAGGCGTTAAAAATGGTGTTTTTTTTAACAATCTGACCCTTCTAAATACACCTGTACTATAAGCACTATATCACTAAAAAAAGTATGTAGAAAATATTCTACGATATTAAATCGACAAATTTACCAAAAGAAGTTTTTTTTACTTCAACATTCTGAATTAGCCATTGAAGCTAAAGAAAATGTAGTAAAATTTTAATTTTACTTGTTAAAAAATTATTATTTTATTAGAAATGACATATTTTCTTAATATCTTAATAAAGAGTTGAAAAATATCAAAAATAATATTGTTATAATTCACATTTTGTGATAGTAATAGTTTAAATCTTTTAAAACGTGAATATTTTATCCTTAAGATAATTTTACATTTGTCTTTTTTCCCACGCAGATCTAATAACTTGACCTTTAAAATTTTGTTATGTAATGATCATGGATATCAGCTGATGTCGTTGAACCTAGTAGGGTGGCAGTAGGTAGGCCACACCCAGTTCTTCGGCAACGTCATCAGTAAGTCCGCAGCTCAATCAATACCTGACCTACTCTATCTTTTGACAAAAAATTTTACAAAAAATGTTTAAATTATTCAATAATAGATCAAGAATTAATAAATAAAAAAAAAAACAAAATAAAGAAGAGTCAAAATTATAATTTCTTTAAATTTTAAAGTATGATTAAAATTACCAAAAATTTATCCAAAATAATAATTTAAAACAAATTTAAAGAATAAATCCCTTGATTTCAAGAGGTGAAATTAACACAATATATATTAAAGATATTATTAGTAAAACTTCATAGATTTGATTTTATTTTATAAGTTATTTTTATTATTACTTATAATAATTTTTGCCATGGAAACGACCATATGTATTTCGGATAGTATACATAAAAGTAAATAAATGTTAAGAAGTAAAATAACATAAAATTATATCATAAAATAATTATGTTTTTATAAATAGGAAGGGTAAAATGACATTTAGCCCCCAAAAAATTTTACAACACTACTATATTTGCAAACATTTTAAGTCTTGCATTACATGTCTGGTTAANTCCTATGATATATTTGCAAACATTTTAAGTCTTGCATTACATGTCTGGTTAACACGATACTTTTTATTAGTACATTACTTTTTTTTCACTCTCACTACCTTAGTACTTTTCACTCGCCTTAAACACACAGCGGTCACATGTATAATATAAATTAAAAAATGAAGGCACTTGATAGATAACAGTATTTTTATATCAAATCATTACTATCTCTATTCGCTAATACTATTGTCTTGTATTCATATGTTGCGAGTGTAAAAATTTGGAAAGAATAGCTACTAAACATTAATAAATAGAACACGATTAATTTAACTACAAAAACGCATTTCATGCTTGTTCACAAATAATAAATAGGATATATTAAAAATAATTAATGTTTTTCGTGGGTATTATTTTTCTAATACCTTCTTATCGATCATTCAAAATATTACTGTATTAAAACTACTATAAGTATCTTATGAAATGAGGTAACATTTATAGTTGTTTTCATTTTATTGTTGTTCAAAATACTTCTAAAAGGGTCCGTTGTGTCTCCCGTCTATATTTGGACGGATTGCCAAGTTACTGGAACACGTGTTCTAGTTCTATTATAATCACAAGTAAGAAATGAGACAGTAGCTGACGGGTATGCTTTACCGGAAGAAGAGCAACATTTGACATACATTATCAAAAAAGAAATGAAAAGGGACATCACCATGATTCAGAAACAAAATCTTAAGGGTATTCAGTATATATTTTGAATTTAATATTCAATGAAGTTCAGCCATTGTTTTAATTATTAATGCTGTAATTAATATTATGAGTAAATACTCATAATAATTTATTTGAATTTAAAATACAGTAATTCTCTAAACACTATACACAACAAAATTATATTTTTTTCTTAAATGCGGTTTTAGTCATACGCAATTGTACGTAAAGTTTCATCTAGAGGATATGATTTTATTTATATTTACGGAGTTAAAATAACACTACATTGAAGCACTAATGTGACTGGCGATTTTTTAGATACAAATTAATTTTAACCAAGAGACTTAATATTTTTACCATAGTTTTTTATATTTCATAATTTGATAAGTAATTATGTTCAATTCAACTGTCCTGTGTAGTTGACGTAAATTCTAAAAAACTCTACACGAACCATTACTATGTAACATCGTTGATTATAGTTAAAACAACGCCAATATTTTTTTGTATATAAGACACACGATTTCTAATAAAATATTAATTGTGATCAGAAAATTAGTTTTAGTATTTTTTTAGTGTAATGTTTTTTGATTTTTTATTTATTAATTATCTTTTAAATTCATACCTTATATTTATCATAATGTATTCATCCGTTTTACACCTAGACCTAAGGCAAGGTAATGTCGAAAAATGTCTGATGATAAATATTGTCATACCCGCGTCTCATCTCTAGTCTTAAATTTAAAATGATAATAATAACTTTTAAAATAATAATTCAACAGTTATTATCTACCAGTCGTTTTTTTTAATTAGATAATTTGTTATATTGAAAGCTTGTTAAATATATATATATATAAAAGAATCACCTTCTATATTTATATATACAAAGCCAACTTTTTCTAAATTTATTTTCGTAATAACTAATATTTATTTATTTCATTATTTTTTAAATAATCTGATTAAAATATTCAAATTGCTTAATAAATTACTATAAAAATTAAAAACATTAAAAAATTTGTAATTTTTTTTAATTTTGTGAATATAACCATCATCTAATAATAATGTTTTGGATAGCCAAATAGCTATTCATTTTTTTACTATTCATCATAATATTAACTAAAAAATAAAACGGTTTATTAAGTTAAATTTTACAACGAAAGGAATCTAAGGGATTTGGCGATTGTTTATTTTTAAATATACGCCATACGTAGTTAAAAACGTTGACACCCCTTAGATAATCTGCAGATGTAAAAATCTATTTAAATAAGTACCGAGGCTACTGTTCTGTCTGATGTAGAAAAAATAAGTATTCATTTAGTTTTAATTACCTTTAGTAAGATTTTTCAGTATAGACAACTTGTGTTCGGCGCTTCTTGGTTCGCCCAATATTATCAGTAAATATCCTCCCGTTAATGGAGAATTAACTTGACCAGTTAAGTGTGCCATTGATATAGATTAATACAAGAATACTTTCATTTAACAAAATCGTATTATACACCTGGAAATACAAGACCAGTATTTGAATCTATTGCACAATTATATTAAATTGGAAATTATAACATATGGTGTGATTCATAAAAAATACTACTCCCTATTTTTGGTTAGAAAACTTTTTTTATAATAATGTACTACATAAAGTATCCGCTATTTGTATTAGCTAAAATAAACATCAATTTTTTTTTTGTAAAAATTATAAATGTTGACGTCTGATTATGCGAAATGGTTAAAAAAAATTGATATACAGATAACTAGACTAAATTATTATTTTTCATGTTTATCAATCATATTTATACTATCAGATAAATCAGTACATAAATATTTTTTTAATTATAATTTAATTTTACTTCTATTTCAATACATGTTATAGACCTGCCAACGTGAATGTAAGAATTAATGTTTTTTTAAGTGTAAATAGCATCGAATATTTTATTCTAGGAGAAAGCGATCAATATGAACGATATAAACGTTAAAAAACACATATTGTTTAAGTTATCAAACTTATTAAATCATTAACTGATAGTTTAAAATATTTGATCAAATTAAATGCAATAGAAGTAACTTTTACAGATTGTAAATTTCAAAAATAAAAAAAAAATTTTAAAAGAAGTAACTCAAGCTATACATATTTCTCCAACAATTAAAAATAAATTTAATTATCCGATGTTGGTTCAAAAGTATAATTATTAACATATACGATTGATATTTTTAAGTAACTTCGAAAACTTAAACTAAATACATAAATATAACTATTTTTATAAATTCGCTTAGTTTAGTATACAACAAAAATATTTTAGTGAAAAGGTGTTTGTTATCAGTCACAATAAAATCGTCTCTTCAGTAAAATAAATAATCATTTTTATAATTTCTTAACATATTACCTTAGCAATTAATTTGTCTTAAAATACCGATACAAAATATTCTTAAGTGTTACTTAAAAAGTTTAAGTATTTTATAACTTGAAGATCATAGTAGATTTAAATGAAAAATACTTCCATATGTCCATTACAGAAAACAAGTCATGTAATATAAAAAATATGTGAACTATTAATTTAAAAATACTACACAATTATCAACTTCCATTAATTCGTATATTTAAAAAGAAATTAATCCAATAAAGATAATGATTTTAACACAATTATCTAAGCATGAAAATGAATATTTTATATTTTTAATCACACTTTGTATAATAAATCACTGTTTATTAGTTCCAAATTTAATGTAACACTGACTTCGATAAGTTTTTCTTACTATAATAATTTTTTCTTTTTAAGAAATAAATGAATCTTTATTTTATATTTAATGGATTATTATAAATTCTATTATACAATATTTAGACTAGTTATTTAAAGTGAAAAGTTGGTTGTGATATTATCTGACATTTTCAAAACTTTTTCAAATAATTTTTCGTACATTTAACTTTATAAAGTATATTTAACTTTTATTTTTGGCTATTGTTTTCTCTTAAGTTAATATTTAAAAAAAAAATTATTATTGAAGAATGGAATCTTTTTTTTTTAATATCATTTACAACTTAATTTATTAAATTTTCTCTTAATCTTAATCAATAATCTTAATCTATTAATTTATTTTACACCATGAATTATATTATAATTTTTGATTTCTATTTATGAGATACTCATAAATAAAAATCACCTAGTAAAATTAATACCTTCTCAGCTTCACGTAGAAGCTAAAATATTATGCTAAAACTCACCTTTTCGGTGTATTGTGTGTCTGGAAATGTTTGAACGACTAGTATGAGGAACTTAAGTCCGTAGTGTGACAGGGACTGCGGCACAGCGTAGTGAAAAGCCACCGTCGGATTACATATGGAACCATTGGAAGAATATACAGTGATGCCACATTGGTAATAAGATATTTATTTTGTTTTAGGGTTGAACATCAAAAGCATATATTAAATTGTTATTATTTTAAAGTTTACACTGTTACTAGGAGAGGGAGTAGATAATGCCATTTCTAACCTTTGTCGGCATACAAAAAAAATTATTATCATAATATAATAAATTAATTAAAATGAAATTTGTTAATAAAAAATTAATGTCAATTGTTTAATAAAATATTTAGTTCAAATTGACAAATAATAAACCTTTTATATTTAATAAAAAAAAAATTTATTTCAATTTTTTAGATGACTATTTTATTTTTTTAATGTAATATATCAAAATACTTAAACATAGATGCATGATTCAAAAAATTAGACCCTTAATTTGGGAGCAGAGTATAATATATATATATTTTTTTTTCGTATCAGGTCATTTAACACTAATAAAATATAAATCATTAAGTTAAAAAAAAATCATATAATTTTATTTGGCAAAATGCGTCTAACCAAAAATTTCATATTTGTGAGCTATTATTCAAGAGCAGGTAAATTGATGGAATATTAATTATCTCCAAACAACTTTTAAAAATTCTATTCTTAAGCTTCATATAACGAGATAATAAAAGTGGGATAACCTTTTTTTATATATTTTTTTTATATTTTTCGTGTATTTTATAAATAACCAAATAAAAGAAAACAAGGACTTTAATTTACTAATTCTTAAAAACTTCCTAATCTGCCACTATTTTTTTAATCAAATTAAAAAATTGGACATATGTCTTTTATAAGACTTCAATAACTGTTTTTATTTAAACTAAACCTATTGATTACACATCATAGGTAATTTGAAAGTTTTATTACCATTCTCCAAAGCCACGCAATCTGGGAAACTGTTGAAGAATTAATGATTGTAACTTACAAGGTCGAAACTAATTATTTCTGTGATGCACCTTATCATCTATTAAAAAATGTTCAGTTTTACTGTAGATCATGAAAATGATATTATTTTTTTTAAATTTTGGTTTACGACTTTAAGTAATAAAAATGACTTAGGTAATCATTTAAAGACTACGCTGACTTAAAAATCTCATTGTTAGTTTAACATTGAAGTTCAGATTAATAATATACAAATTAATTGAGTACATCGAAAAATATATTTTTTATTTCATTGCCAATTTGCACTATATTTGACATTAATTATTGCATTGCAGTAAACTTTTCTAGCGTGGTAAAACTCTAAACATTATTTTTGCATAGTATATGGTGAAATTTAATTTGTCAATATGTCTTTGTAACTATTTAACATAATGTACATATCAACCCCAAGGCAGTTAACCTCCCACGTACTAAAAAAAATTCAAGGTTTTATCCTGTATATCTAATGTATGAAATCAATAATCACTAATAGATTAATTTTTTTTTTTTATGTGTCGGTATAATTTAACATGACAAGGTTCAAAACCATAATTAAAACACTTAATAAAAAAACATTTTATGTTTTTACACTTTCAATTAAACACAATATTGAAAAAGAGGCCTTATTTTCTTAAATATGTATTGATACTTAGAATTAGATTGCTTAGATAGTAAACTTAGAACCTCTTCATTCCCAACCTTTCAAATTATACTTCAAACTTAGTTTCCTGAATAAAAAATGCGAAGTATTGCTAAATTATTAGTGAATTATTGATTCGGAGCACATTGATAACTCTTTTACAATTAACCCACCAAACTATCCCCTTGCGGGACCCAATGTCACATCACCGTACCCTGATTTCACCCNAGATATCATCGATTCGGAGCATATTGATAACTCTTTTACAATTAACCCACCAAACTATCCCCTTGCGGGACCCAATGTCACATCACCGTACCCTGATTTCACCCGTGACCTTCTAACGGTGCAGAGGGACGTATCCTCCCGTAACGCCTACACAGGCGTGTCGGAGGACCAGGGCGGATGGACCGGGCGTGGCGTGGTCGGCGCGTGGACCCAGGACCGCCTCGGAGGATCCGCCGACCACCAGGAGACTATGTTATTCGCTATACGATCGACACGAATGCACGAGTCAAACCTTCTCTGCGTCAGTCTAAATGGTAGTTACGCATGATCCCCTGGTACTCCACATACGAACATTCCGTTACGTCTGCGGTGATCACATTCCGAGCACATTTGCAGCACTCCAATTGTGTAACGTATTCATAAATACATTTTAAAATAACAATTAAGTATGACGTATTTAACCAAATTTCCTTGAGGTTTGAATAATTGATAATCAGGGATTCAAACCGTTTTCATGACGTTATTACTATTAAAAAACGATTCGGATCGTAAAACGTAAAATAACGAATAATAAAAAAATGTATAGTAACGATAAACAACATATAAACGAAATACAACAAAAATCAAACACATCATGACTAAAATTGAACTAATACTAAAAACAGAAAGTGAAAACATATCGATGGTTTGTAATAATTTATACAATAAATTTGGATATACTATAGCAATGGCGTATTTATATGCAAGCACTATGACAACGGCCTACAGCGGCAAATATTGAAGGCCAACAAATTTTTATGGTTGGCAAATTTGTTAAAAGCCAGTTTTTTTTATGGTTGTTATCACAGATTAACCCAACTCAATAATTATCATAATCGTTTTCGTTTATGACATGTATATTACATGTCATAAATGTGTATTAAATGACATGTTTATTACTAGCTACAAGTTTAAGTACAAAGTTAAATCTATTTTCAATTTAGCGATAACAATAGCACAGGTTAATTATTAATATACAAGTTTATTAATTTTATAGTACCTTTTTTATCGCTGTCTCTGTAAAAATGTTTAAATCGGAAAAAATTAACTAATGTTATCTTAAAATCTGTTTTGAAAAATAAATCGTATCTGGGTATGATATTGTCATAATTTGACTAATGTTTGCGTAGCTCCTTTAAAGTGCACTACTAATTTACGTTTATTTCTTGTAAAATATTCTTATTACGTGAGCATGATTGCAAATATAAAACGATTAAGTGATATAATGAAACTAGAGGAAATTGAAATTCTTACATATGAGAAATTACGGGTTAATTTCCAATGAGATAAAAAAATGATCAATAACTTTTAAAAAGCGATAAACATAAAACATAAAAAATTGCTATTGTATAAATACCGCAAAACTAAAAACATTGTAAATCCATAACGTTTTAATTATTCATAATAATTATGTTAACATTTTAACTTTCATAACATAAAAACAAAGTAAATAATTTTGATTCAAGCCTTGTTGCAAACACTAACTAAAAATAATTGCAAATAAACATTTAAATACAGAGTTGGTCATAAATATTATAGTTATTAGTTTTATCTATAATTAACGATCAAAATTAATGAAAGAAACGTTAATTAATTAAATTATATAAAGAAAAATAACAATTTTCATTATAGAATTGAAATTTTGTTGTAAATAGTTAAGCTAAAAATATGTTATCATTTAAACAATTTTAATTTGTTACTGCAATGCCGCATTAGGTAACATACGGTTTCATTTGTGTAAACCATTCAAAATTACTATTATAGTCAAGTAAAAACAGTCTTCAGAGCCATACACATAAGGCTTTATTTTATTTTGTGACATTTGTATCTAACTGCAGTAGTTTAAAACAGCTGCAATAACTATATAGATAAAATATGTACATTTTCTTACTAAAACACCAATATTTTATATTGGTCATTTTTTTAAAAGCTTTATTAAAAAAAATTTAATTAAACAAATAAAGTTTATCTATTTCTTTATATGTATATTAAAAAAAAAATTAATTTTTAGTCGAAAATTTAAAGAAAATTTATAATAAAAAAAAGGTGACACAAATCATATGCATAACATAAACTTGTAAGATATTATAGTAAACATTTACTATAATTTTACTAAGTTACTATAATTAAATTAATTAATTGCTATTTAGCCTTTTTAAGAATTTCTTAATGTCATGTCTATGTTTTATAAAATTTTATTGCAATGATTAAATACATTGCTTAATGTGGAAATACATCACTGATAATGACCATGAACTGTTTAATAATACTTGTTAATATGATATGATTAATACTGATATAACTGGTCTAGCTGTTCTTTGTTATCTGAGTTGCCAGATTTTTTTAAAATTATGTTATCGTTGGTAACAAAGTAAATGAATGTTGATAATTAATAAAAGATTAAGATTTTGTCAACAAAATATAAAATGCTTTACAACAAAACTTCTGGATATCAGCCAAATATTTTAGCGTTGTACTTTATATTCTTAGGCCACTGATAAAAAGGGATGCGTGGCACATCCTGTAAACGCCCAAATAACAGCCCTGTTATAAGGGATCGCCTTAATAAATATGCTGTTGGAAATTTTTCCAAAATAAGGGCAGTCCTCCTCGCTGCAGACTTAAATTAATGAAACATTGAGCGAGAAGTTTGGCAAGATAAAACTTTACAGCGTCTCCAAGCTTTTTTCTATTTTTTAGCCCTTGTAAGGATTCTTATGTTTCCTCCTCGTTGTAATATGAGATAAAAGCGCGAATCTACTTCCAAAATGCTCAATTTTAAAAAACTGAATATTTAATCATTTTAGTCCCTAAAGCTCCATTTGCTCTTTCCGCCTAAATACATAACTGCTTATTAAGTACTAATATGTAATATAACTTATGAATATAAAAATTCTTATAATTTTATTGTGAGTACACGTAGTTTAAACAGACACACTACGGTGCACAAATCCTACATGAGAATATGTAAAATAACTTGGAATATTGGAAGTATAACTCCTTCCACGTCCCCTTAATCTGGTTTTATTTTAAGCCCTGATGTAAACTGTGAACTATTATAATTAGACTGCTTCTTAATTAAAGGTATAAAAAGACATTAACTTTCATTTAAGTGCCGTTTTTGCTTAATTAATTCTAAACAAAATGTTCGTGTAATTTTTGTTTATTCAGAGATATTTAAAAAATTATTTTAGTTCTTTCAACTTATTTCGAAGTTATTAATTATTTTAGTGTATGTGCTATTTAACCAGAAAAAAACGGTGAGATTTAGCTAGCGGTCCAATGCAAATACGGCGGGCGCGAACAATGACGTCTGAACATGTATATTTCATATGACAGCTACGCGGAAAACTGCGGAAAATCTTTTGCTTATATCAACGGTGGTGATGATGACGGTAGGAGAGGTAGTTGGGTGGCTTTCCCGATCGCGCCGACGCCGGGTTTGTCCACAGTGGCTACCAGTCGCTTACGCATGGGCTCCTGATAGCATGTTTAAAAAAATTGCGGAAAACGCACGAAAACGGCGATTCCAATTTCCCGAAAATCGTGGTAATAACCTGGTCGCGATGTAAAAAAATCGTACCGTCATATACTTCACTCGTTTCCAATTCATTATTACGGTATCGATGTGATAATTTCTATAATAACGGTCTGTTATTATTTTTTTCTCTCGACTGCTAGTAGTGCGTTTGCACTGAGCGCAGCCGTCGGCTAGTACCCTGGTACAATCGCTCGCATTTCTTCAGCCAAGTGTGACCCGAGACGGACAACTGAATCCCGTGATTCAGCGTTGTTCACACCGCCCTGTAAGAAGCGATCCAAAAATTACCATACGTCAGTATGATCTCTTTAATATACACGTTAATTTTACACACAATCGGTGTAGTTTTGAGATAAAGTATCGAAAATTCGTACACAAGTGTAACATTTTTACACTTTTTATCAAAAATTTGTTTTACGTTGTATGTGTTGCATGTATGTGAAAATTCGGACATTCATTTTAAAACCGCGGTCTTTATGTGTCGTCTATGGCTTATTTAACATTTTATCAATGTCTATTAGTAATCGAATGATTAATTATTATTCTTTCTTATTAATGTCCAAAAAGTATTTTAATGTATGGTAATACTGATTATTAAAAAGAAAACAGTCACCTAAAATTATTTTATTACCGCATTTGGTGTAACCGCAGCATTGCTATAGTTTAGTGTACGCCGTTGCCATCAGCATCGACGGCCTTGACATACGAGGCCAAGCGTCGCAGTAGAGCTATGAATGAACTGCATTTCGGCTGGTATCCTGGTACTCTGTGATCTCATTGGAGGTGAATATGGCTGCGATAAAGGGCAGACGACACGCGCGGATGAGTCGTTACTATGCCCGTGGCCGCTTTCCTTCGCTATCGCCCCATACCGACCAGTGCGGGCAACCGGTGGCAAAAAAGGTTCAAGTCGCCACTACGTCCTTGTTACCATTACGCCGCTCTTCGGTTACTACGGTTACGTTTTGTTGTAGGTTTGAGCGTTTATGTTGCTCACGTTATTCATTTTTTTTTAGTCATATGTAATATTTATTCCTAAAAACTTAAGAATAATGAAAAAACAATGTAACTGAAAGATATAATAATTAAAAAACAAAATGTTTTGACAATTTCTATAATGGGCAACGTGTTGCGGCTCAAATGTATTTATTGTGCGAATGCTAACCAACGACAACGCAGGTATCACATTTTGCATAACGATAAGGCGCTAGTATTTTTAACTATGGTGTGATTAGGTATGAAGTGTTAGGATTCGTTGAATAATTAGTAAATGTTTTTATAAATCTTAGTTATCTTAATTTTATCTACCCTTAATTTACTGATATAAAAATTTTGAATTTAAGTAAGTAGTCAGTATTTATATTTATAATTATGAATGTATTAAAAACATATTTTACAAAGTTAAAAATATTTTATTAAAGGATAAAAAAATTAAAAAATTCCTCAAATAGATGATTAAAAAAATATTCATATTAAATTAATTTACAATACTTGTTGATAACATTAACTAAAGTAGCATAGAATTTTGTTTTCCAGTTCTCGAAGGTAACCTATCTTATAATTTAAGATTCAAATTATACCATCGATTAGAAATACTATTTTACCGAAAAAGTAAAATATTTCACAGCATATACCTACTTCATATTCTGACTTACTATATATAACTCTTGAATACAATGTGTTATGGGCGGATTATTATTAGGGTTCAAAAGTAAATCATTAACTAAATTAATTTAAGAAAAAATATTAAACTGTTAAAATAAAAATGTTCAGAAATAGTTATTGATTAGAAATGGGGACAAGTAAAATAATTTTACTACCTAATTTATTATCTTAGTTTCATTTTTTGGAATTTTGCAAAAACGATTTAACAAAATATTAATTTTTTTTAATTTTCAAATTTATTAGAAAAATTACGGTTCTTCTAGTCGGCCTAGACAATGCAGGAAAGACTTGTATTTTTAAAAGTATAATGAGAGGTAAAGTATTTCAACCCCAATTTAATTCATTCTTTTCCGAAAAAACAATATAATAGTTTTTAGCTAATTGGTATTTTGACTGTTTTAGAAAAACAAAAAAATGTTCTTCCAACTGTCGGATTTTCGTCTTCCAAATTATTTTACCAAGACTTTGACATAACAATTTACGATCTTGGTGGTCATAAGCAAATACGTGATATATGGCCACAATATTTTATTGATGTAAATGTTATCACCAAAACGACAATGCATTTATTTCAATTAAAGTATATTTTTTATATTTTTAGGTACACGGTGTTATATTTGTTGTCGATTCGACGGCTCACAGTAGACTAGTTGAATGTAAAGAAGTGTTTAAAAAATTGTTAGAGAACGATAAAATATCTGGAAAACCTGTACTTTTGTACGATCCACATAATATCAGCATTTTTAATATTATTAACTTTTATTGCAAATATGACAGTTGAACAATTTCAAATTGAAAGTAAACATTGAATAACGTTTTTAATTTTCTATTAGGTTTGCGAACAAACAGGACAAACAGGGAGCGTTAGATGAATTAGATATTGTCGAACAATTGAATGTAGAAATGGTTGTGAATACAAACAAATCTCCGACGCTAGTGGAAACGTGTACAGCCCAATACGTGGCACCGATTCATTACTGTTCCTCTGCGTTTATTGATCCATGTATCGACAGCGGTTTTAGGTAAACAAAATTAATAAGCTCTTTACACATATTTTAAATGCATTTGATTTTAGCTGGTTAGTATCGCAGATTGGAAAACATTACGATACACTCAACACTCGTGTAACTCATGATATGGCCCAATATCAAGAAGGCGTAAATAAAAGATTAGAAGAATGGAAAAATAAACAACAAACTTCTAATGACTCTTATTTACTATCTTTCAATGCACCTCATAGAAGGTCGACCAAGCGAAATCCTTTCAGGCGCATTAATCGAGTTATTGTAATGTTTTTTAATTAAAAGAACTGTATCAGGACCGGAATTAAATTTGAGCGAGGAGGACGATAGATACACAAATTTACCAACTGGTAAAAACTAGTAAAAAATAGTTTTTAAATACTGTACCTACGAAAAAAAAATGGACCAAATTTAAAATTGAAATAAACCAATCACGATTGCCGCTAATTAATCAATTATAATTATATTTATAATCTAAGTAATTATCATAGAGGGTTATTATCATTCTTTCTCTACGTAAATCCGGTCTTGGTCATTATAATTTGCTTTAGTGAGTGTATATTTTTTAATACGTATATATCTATTATTTAAAACAGGATAGTTTTGAATCAAAACTACAAAACCATTCGGATGGCTTCGGCAGCACTTCGTTTATTATACCCCTACGAGAAGAGCCAACCGATCCCGCAGCAATTGCTTTTCGCAACAAAGTCGGTCCAATAGTGTCTTCTTCGCGTTCTGTACAAGAACACGAATCTAATCGCCAACAAATCTCAAGGTCGCCACTTTTTAGAGCACGGTCGAAAGAGTTCGAAAATGATGTGATCAAAAAATCAATCGGTGTAAAGCCCGAACCCAATATGAATACTAAAGAAACCGAAAAGTTCATTCGAAAAGAATCAATTTCTGCAAAATTAAAACGGTCTATGTTTAGTAGATCAAGTTCCGCTGGTAAAAAGTCATCGTCAGCGCAAAACTCAGAAAGGCAATCAAGCGCAAAGTCATCGCAAAAAAGTATGTACGAATCCCAAAATAAAAACAGTGACATAAATTGACTTTTTATAGGTTCTCAAAATGAAGTGAATCCAGCACAAGAAAATTTAAGTGAAATACTAACGTTTCATTCCAATGATACGGCGAGTCTTAAAAAAATAGAAACATCTATTGATATTCAATAACATGCGAATCACATATGATATGTTTAATTTGATGGCGCCTTTAGATCTGTTAACATTCTGTGCTAGAATTATTTTTGTGTCTTGTGCCGATTGAATCTAAAGCTGGCACTGAATTAAATTATAAAAATCTATAAAGAGTACTTATAAGCACTCCTTATAGAGAAATATTTATTGAAACCAACGATTTTGCGACTCCTAGGTCAAGTAAAGCAAATTATTTAATGTTATGTGATGATAAGTATTGTAACTTTTTATAATATTGCAAATAAATATCTCTAAATTTAATTAGATACATATGTATAATTAAACATAAAAATAATTAATAAAACAATATAATCGTTTTTACTTTTATAGGTAATACAAATAACAAAAACTTAAGGAATTGTAGCGTAATATTTGTGTAACTGATTATTTAAGGCTAACGATTTTGATTGTTTAGGTGGAGGACATACAACAATGCTATGGCAAAAAATTTTAGATTAAACAATTTGATATCACCGTATTCTAATTTCCGTAATTCAATTTTAAAGTAGCCTTGTATCATGCCAGTTCACATCTAAGTTAATAGTTATGTTTTATAATTATGAATGTATTAAAAATGCATTTTTAAATGGTTTATAGCTCAATTACTAATTAGTAGTAATTATCTCAAAAACTAAATGTGAACGGAAATTTAAATCTAAAGGTAGATTTATAATTAGCAGCCCAATTTCTTCTGGAACTTATCTAAATATTAAAAACCCCATGATTCTTTTTGCCCCGTGTTACTATTAACTTAAACAAAACTAAAATTTTAACTTGGATGTATCTTAATTAATAAAAAAAATTCTCTACGCAGAATCATGTTTTAATTAGGTTTAAGGATTAAATTCAGTCTTAGAAATGCATAAAAATATTTATCCAAGTAAACCCATTACAAATGTACTGACCATAAAATTTTAAAGTCTGTGACCTAGTTATTATGATCAACGTTTTCATGATTTTTCAGGACAATCTATATTTTATAAAAAAAAAACAACAGGAATGATTTAACTTATATCAATTTATATAATATTGAGTTACAATAATAAATAATATTACCTAATAAACATAATACATAATAATAATAAAATAAAAACCCGCGTATGCGGATAAATAAGGAAGTCAATTACAATAAACACAAATCTAAACATCTATACAACAACAAGTCATCTATAATATGGCAGAAATGAACCTACTTCTGTGTAACAAAAAATATTCAACATTAAAAGGTTTGGTATAAATATTAATAATTTTCCCAATGTAAAACTTAAGTGCTATAATTGTTTTATTCAACTGTATATAAAGTGACGTTTAAATGAATAATTTATGTGATCATCTTACATATTGGTAACAAAATAATCATGGACGGCAATCATGTAAATATGAATGGCCATAAAATATGTTCAATTTATAATAACTATTATAGATTCCATAGTAAATAATAAGTAAAAAATAATATCAAAAATAAATAATCAATTAAATTATTAAATAAAACACATAATTGAAAATGTGCGAAATCCTTAATTTAAATTTTATATTTTATTGTATGTGCTATTTAGTCTGGCTTTCATAAGAAAAAACAATTACTTTTTAATCATTAATATGTATCAATAAATAATAAATTACGTTACTCTACAAAAATGGAAAAAGTTTCTCATATATAGTAATTTGCATTTTATAATGAATAACATTCTTATCTTGTAGCTTACAAAACACGTTAACATTAAACATATATTTATGTGCATAACACTACAATATTTCAGTTATACAATTTAAACATAAAATATAATGTATAAAAAAAAACAAATTAAAAATAAAATATGATAACCTACACTTAGGTAAGTAGATAACATTAAGGACGGTGCTTAACCAAAAACAAATGGCACATAGGGAAACTGATATCAATAACTATTTATGAATCTAATATTTTTTCGATTACTTTAATAAAATAAAACGGGATACATACACACAACCGCACATTCATTACGATATTTAATTAATTATAATAATGTTATATATATATATATGCAAAATACTTTTAGTACAAATATTATTAAACCTATTGAGAAAAAGATGTTTTGTTTTGTTAATTTTAGAACACATACACAACATACAATCTAATCTATTACACTAATAAATGTTATTAAAAAAAAATAATAATAAGCGTTGTATCTATTAATTGCACTATTATTAGGTTTCCAACAGTGAAATTTGGACGTTTTTTGAAAATGATATTTTTACACTTCAGAAAATTTTTACACATTTTCAATAGTTGATCTGTAAAAATATATACAAATTTTATAAGCAAGAGTACTTTTTCTACAAAGAAATGTATTTATAAAGTAAAGTTTATAAAACATTAATTCCTAAACAAATACTTTACTTTAATATGAAAATAACTAAATTAATTTACCAATAGGGTGACAGTCTTTAAAACTCTAATGACTGATCTGCACTTCCTTCCATTTCAGAATCTCCATCTTCATCGTCTACATCAGTATCATTATCTAAAATACCATTTTCAATAGATTTATTCTTTTGGCTATCTTCTTTTCCATATAAAAGAGCTGCTATAAATAAAAATAAAAATTGTTATGGTTAAAAAATAATATAAATGTTTAAAATTTTTTTTTTTTTTAACAAACTTACAGCAATTGGGTTTTCCTCTGACACGTGAGTTGGGTACTTCTACGCCATGCTTATCAACACACCAGCACATGCCTACAGATGAATGACACTGAGTATGTTCATAATAACCTTCAGCGTCACATACAGGCACATAGACACCTAAAATCAAATATAATAGAACAAATTATATTAATAAATTATAAACCAATCTCATGTAATTTTATTATAGTAACAAAATATGTATTATATTATATTTATTTATATAATAATAATTTAGTTAAAATCTAAATTTTTTTTATTATAGAATAGTTGATTTTTTATTTTTTATTCAAAATATTTAATGAGCTAGACCTCTAAACTATACTATTCTATCATATTCCTAATGCTCTGTTATTGATTTCCATAATATTGATTTAATATTAATACAATATTCTAATTAGCTTAATTTTTTAAATAATTACCTAAAGCATTTGGTGATATTCTTCGTTTAATAGCAGTGCATGGTCGATCTGTGTTATCAAAACATCGACACCATTCATATGGATTGACAAAGATATCTCTTTAAACAAAATAATTTAAATATTAGATTTTTATGTCTTATTAAAACTTTTTTATAAACCATACCCATCAGTATCACATGTATCTAAGAAAGGTTTGATACACATTTCGTTTTTATCGTGTTCTAAATCATAAAGTTCTTGCAATGAAAGTTTACCATCTGAATCTAAATCTAAATGTTGGTACATCCAACGAACTTCCCATTTACATCCATTAATGAACTTGACAGCTGAATTTATAGAAAATAAAAATACTTAATTGATTATTAAATAATAAAAGCAAAACTAACCTTTTCCCTTGTTCTTTGTACGCCTTCTCTTTGCATCTGCCATGATTACAGAAAACCAATCAAGTAAACGATCACCCATAGACTGTAAAGCTGATGGTGGACAATCTTTATTCCACGACGAATGAGATATTTGATTGGTATCAATAACTTCATTATTCATTTTTTCAAGACGTTTATTTTTATTTGATTCCAAAATTGAATTCTACAATTAATTTAAGTTATTAAAGTATAAATATTAACATAGAAATAATACTCATTACTTTGGATATTTGATTGTCATTTTTAATATATTTTATGTATTTATAATGTTTATTTTCGTATTTGAAATCTTCAGGAGCAAAAATGTATTTCTCCGAATATTTGGAAATAGGAGAGTATGTACTTATTTTAATTTTTTCATTTTCTAATGTTGCTTTATATTTATTCATAAAGTTGGTCATTCTTTCAGCTTGTTTTTGTTTTTTACGCTCCATTTCATCTTGCTCAACTGTAATAAAAAATAAGTTATACAAATCGACTATATATCATTTAATATTAAAAATATTAATTTAAAACTAAAAAATATTTAACTTAAAGAGCTATAATAATGATTAAAAAATTGTGGATGCGTATTTCGGGAGCAATGTTAACATTATCAGCGCTAAACAATAAATTTTAATCTTAAATAATATTAGTCACAAATGATCAATTTTTATAACTAAAAATCGTTTAAAAATTTAATCTGAATATATAGACTATAATAACTACCTTTACAAGGACAAAATCCTTTACAATTGACTTTGATATTAGTTGTATGAAGACAATTATGGTAATCTAAACGACACAATGAGCTGTATGTACGATTATCTGAGCCACAAAGGAATGTTGGCTTCATCACCGGGCACGGATTACACCTGCTGAAAATAATTTCATTTAGTTACACCTGATTTTAATTGTAACACAAATCTATTTTTAAGTTCGATAAGTATTATGGACTCAATTAAAATTTAACAACAGTAGGTAAGATAATACAATTTTAACATATTCGTTATTATTACATTCATATCGCACAAAATAAATACTATAAAATACAATTTTTGCCCTTCTTTTTCCTCGTCTTAATCCCAACTATTTGGGGTCGGCCACGCTTATCCTAAACTTCCACTTGACAATATCTCCCACATCATCTACTCTAACGTCAGCCGCCCTCATATATCGCATTAATAAGGTCCATCCATCTCATTTTTAGAGTTTCTCAACCTCTTCTTCCATCAACATTCATTTCCATAACTATTATCACAGCTTCCGATTCCTCTCTCCTCATTACATGACCAAACAATCTTAGTCTATTTTTTTTCATTATATCCACGATTGACGCTACACCTACACTTCCTTTTGTATGTTCGTTCTTTATCCTATCTTCTTTAGTAACTCCATTCATCCATCTAAGCATTCTCATCCCTGCTATAAATTAAATGTATTATACTATAAAATAGTATAATACTTTTGAAATTTTTTTATCCTTTTTACTATTTCACTATACCATAAAATATAGATATAATTATAAGTAGCTAATGAATAATTAATCGGGGATTTTCTTTTTGAAAAGAACTAGTTATTAGCGAACTACTTCAGGAAATTCATAAAAATGAAGTAAATATACGTAAAAATGTATACATTTTGTAAAAGATAGTGAGAACTGTGTGTTTATGTCAGAAAAAATGTCTCATTTACGTCAAAAAATGAGTGTTTGTCAGGAACTTGATATTTATATTGTCATCTTCAGTGAATCCCTATTATTAATGATGTACTTTTTGCTCGATAAAGTTCATCAAAGCAGATTACGTAGATAGCTGATGTAAAAAATGAGTGTTTAAAATAAAAAATAATTTTACTTTAAATCCAAAAATATATTTATTATTTTTTTTACATTTTGGAATGACTTATAATGATGTAATTTTTTGAAAATTTATTTAATTGGTGACAAGTAAAACTAATTGAATATCATTTTTTTAAATCTGTGCATACAAAAAAACGTTAGCATTAAATTTTAAATTTCAGAATCGAAAATAATTTTATGATTACTAAAATCATTCATTAATCTTATATTTTTTAGAAGAATCTCTAATGAAATTTTATTTTACCATTATTTGTTGATGTTTACGTGTTTATTTATTGTTTATACGCCTTAACACGTGTATAAAACTACTGATAAATCTTATTAGCAAAAAAAATATATCTTTCGGAACATTAATCAGAAATACGTTTGTTACAGAAATCAGTGATTTTGTAAACCAGTTGGCGTGCACATAAAAAAGTAAACAACGTCAAAATAATAATGTTGTTCAAATATGTTTGAATCAGTTGTCATCTTAATTTCCATACGAGAAAGTTGTTATAACCATCAGTGACTAGTAAAATATGTGTTTTTACATCATAGACCACATCCCACAACATCAATGAACTACACATTTTTATTTGCCTACAAGACGGATGACTGTGACTTGTATGGCTTGTATTTAGGGGTCACCGCCGTATTTTTGAGATACGTATAAATAATTAAACTTTTTTTCATGTGTATTTATTGATTGTAAATTGATAATGTGTTGTGATAATTTTTGAACGAGTTTCTCTATAATTCCTTTTAATACATTCACTCAATACGATAAGTTGAATAATTCAATTAAAACATACGTTAATATATTACAATAATTATTATACACATTAACATATCTTTATCTTATTATATCGAGAACTACAATGTTTCAATATAATTTTGAAAACCAAATTTTATTGACTGAACTATTGAATAACTCTCCTTTTGTATTATAATACTTAATGTTGATCTATTAAATACGATAAAATCTAACTGATTATCAGCTAGTTTTAAGTAAATCTGCTGTTGCTATATTTAAAATCAGATCTAAATATTTGATGAAATCAGTTCAAAAAATATAAATATTATTACTTGTTGGAAGACAATGAACTGCTGACTCCACTGTCGTAAAATATATCATCATCATCGTCTTCGTCCTCGTAAATATCGTCATCGTCGTCCTCGGCCTCGTCTTCAGCTAACGCATCTTCCAAGGCTTTTTTTCTAGCTGCTTTTTCAGCCATATATTTTTCTCGGCTGATAATGATATCACCGTTTTTGTGAATCTCCTTTTTGTTGACACATACGGCGGTGTAAATGTCTTCCAGTAAACAGATTTCTTTTTTCTTACACCTCAATGGCGTGCAATGGTCACCTAAACAAATTGATAGTATTTTACATTTAGTTTCCAAAATTAAACTCGATTTTGTCATAAATAAAATAATGAGTACTCAAAGAACCCCATAAATTATAGAACCTAATATTGAAATATGAACATTTTAGTTTACTATGGGCGGGTTATTGGTAAAAAATGTTAAATTACGTACATATGAATAATTTTATATTTGTAAACATCCCACACGGCTACAGCGTTATGTTAACTACTTTAGTTCTTAGGTATATTCTCTTGATAACATTTTTTTTTGGATGTGTGCCAATTCAATACAAACTTCAATGTTTTCGAGATAGTTAATATAAACTCTTAGTAACTGTACAATAAAATATTGCAGAGGAAAAGTAAATTAGACCCGTTTTGGGTACATTTATCTCTTGATCACGATATTTAGTATCTCTGTCGGATAGTAAACATAGTTAGATGATTTGTGATAATCAAACAAAGTTAAAAGAATAGAATTTTTGGATATAATAACCTAAAAAAAGAAATAATAAATATTTACATAAAACTTCAATGCTAGTAATTTAATAAGACGGTTAACTAAATATCAATACATTTATTAAAAAATTTGTTTAGGACATTTCATAGAAGCAATAATATATAATTTTGAATAAAAATAAACTTATTTCAAAAATGCTTTATTAAAAAGCGGATTAAGAAAAGAAAGAAATGTATTACTTAAAAATAAACGATAAAATTTTAATTAAACCAAAAAGAAGTATTAGGTACAGTGTAAACAAGAAGATTATGTTGAGAAGTTGAAGATGTGACTGCTAATCAGTTAATTAAGAAGTATATATTAGAACTGTATCCACATTAACATATAAGTAAAATTTTTTTTAATAAATTCTTATAATGCACCACATTCAAATCATTCTAAAAGTAATTTAACACCTAAGTTAAACAAAATTTGTCGAAGTACAACAATGCCATAAACTTTGTTTAAATTATGAGTTTAAAAAAATAATGCACAAGCTCTCTTTAGTTTGTGGTGCGTGACCACATTTACAACAATCTAGAGGTCACCATAATGCATTATAATTCGTTTAAACAAAATTTCTATTAAAATGTAAATTTATAAAATGAAAAATAATTAAAAAACATTTAAATTATAACACATAATCAAAATTTCGAACACAATTATTAAATATCGAATTAAGACTATGTCTTAATTTATGTGTTTGCTTAACAAAAATATCCTAATTTTAAACATTTTTGAAAATAATACGAACTCGTTATAAACAGTCAATACATTTTACAATAAACTTTTATTTTTCAACAAGAATCTTAAAACAGATTATTTTAAGTAAAACAATCATTATTTAAATATTTAATAATGTTTTAACTTCAAAAAACCCTAAGTAAAACTTTTAGCAATTATCCTGAAAAATAAAACTTTACAAAGCCAAAATTTATCCAACTCATTACATGCCTACGAGATAATCTAAAACTATATTAACCCTACATAATGAGAAAACTTAAACATAACTCAATAACTTTATCTAACAATGGATACATTAAGTTGGGACGAAAAAAAATGAATATCAAATTACAGTATCTTAGTGCATTAGTGAAGGTTGACTCCAATGTGGGTCAACTGGGTTTATTTATCCTAGACTTTAGATAAGTATCCATAAAAAAATATATTTGAAATATTCTAAAATCAGTATTTTTATAAGTATTGGTAAGTTTTTATTTTTGTGAAAAAATAAATTTTAAACTATCAGAGTTTAACACATCTTTTTTTCAATTTTCACAATAATTTTGTCAACTATTGATATATGTACTGTTAACTGTAAACGTACTAAATTTTCAATGTTAACGATTAATATGCTTGGCCAAAATTATATTTTAGAGCTTAAAGACATTGATAAAAAAAAGATTCGTATTTTTCCTTTTTATGGAATTTTTAAATATAATTATAACTATACTCACTGTTTGGATCATGTATCCATCGCTTTTTTTCGCCGAATTTGCCAATATCATTAGGTTTTGAGTTGTCCTATGGTAAAAACACAATAATATTAATATCAAATCAATTATAGTTAATACATGAAATTGATATATTTAGTTGAAGCATCATCTAATTTTTCCTAAGAATATTGATATAAAATATAATTATGAAACTAATTGAATTTGATTTGTTAACTCTAATGTACGTTAATAAGTATTGTTGTATAATTAAAAATGCTTTTAAATAATTTATGGAATACATAACGGATCTTGCATTATCATTCAATTTTTGTTACAAGTTCTTATGAGTCGGTTAGCATTTATAGTTTAACAGTGCATTTTACTTTACTTATAAAGGTAGCACGTACGACGGCCAGTTCATTTTATTTCATTTGAAAAATGTTTCTTTATTTAAAAAAGTCCAACGACTGTTTCATTTAATGTAATATTTCTATTGTTAAAAATCAGTTAAGTTTAAGATTTAAGAAAATACAATACACTTTTTAACTATTTTGTATTATTACAGTTAACACTATAGTTAATGAAAAAGAACGATCAAATATGTGATAAGGAAATACTGTAAAATCAATTTATTTAAAAACAATATCATTTATCATAATATTTAAAGAAATTACGTTTTGAGAATTAGAAGTTTAGAAGGTAAGTATTATCATGCCTAATGTGTCCATATAGTTATTTCTCATCGATACTTGATTATTATATTTAAAATTCTTTAAATTAATATTATCTCAAAATAGTTTTATTCGCTGATCTTTTTAAGTCATCAATAAATATAAAACTGTTGGATAATTATTGTTAGAATTAATCGGTCGGCAAACTAAAAAAAGTTGTCAGCTCGTTAATAACTCGTCACTTTGACAATAAAAAATACTTCACTTAAATCTATTATATTTAACTTTTTGTGCTTAAATAAAAAATAATTATGTTTTTAATTCTTTTCTATCCGGCATTTTGCCTACAGGAGTGGATAAGTGCCGGTACCACTAACGCGTAAGGGTGTTGAGCACGTCATGCTTTTAAACGGCCAAAGGGGTTGAAAGAAACATTAAAAAGGAGGTAGCAAAACCGAGAAGGATGCCGTTGATTATGAAAATATCTGCGTGTGTGTTTATAAATGGAACTAAACCGAGTGGGGTGGTTCTGGTCGTGAAAAGCTCGCTAGCGCGTCATGCGGCGTCACGCCGGTGGCCGTAGTCGCTAGTGTAGGACGTATAGTATATTGGGGGGGGGGCAACTCCTCCTCTACCGTAGTCCGCCGGGGTATTGATTTTTATACGACGACGCGGTGTCCGCCAAACGCTTCCTCTGCCGACTGTTGGTCTAGGCGTATGCTGCTACTACAGCCACCGCCATCGCCGCGACTTTTCTGAAACCGTTTTCCGTTCGATTGGCCTCCAAAACGCGTTTCGCGTATTAACCGAGACACTTTTCACGTCCATAACCGAGTAATGACGACGCTGGCGGCGGCAAAAGTCACACTTTTGCACAACACAACACCAGCCGAATTTCGAGTTCCTCCTGTTGATTTATGCACATCGAGGACCTAATATGCAGCAATCAAAACAGTTTGACCGCGTTTTATTAAATGATATTATGTCGAGGAAATGATACAAGAAGGTACTGCAAATAATCATTACATTTCGTAATCAATGGTGGTACTATAATGATGTGTAGGTACAACAACGACCGCCTACGATTGCGGTAACCGGAAAGCGGTTGGTTGAATTTACTGTGCGTGCATATAATTGCAGAAAATAGAAGATTATGAACGCGATACTACGAACTTACCGAAATATACTGCGTTTCGTAAAATTAAATTTTAGTTAACACCGCCGAGTTAAAAAAATCATGCGCAGTTGATGTGTGACTTGAGTAAAAGACAACTAAGATTTTTACGAGTTAATCATAAAAAAAGTGGCTACAAATATTAATTTATACTAATAGAAAAAGAATCCTAAAATTAAAATTTATTTAGAACGGCAATTTTTTTTTTTTTTTTTTTTAGAGCCAAAATAATTATTTTAAATAATGTCGTTATTATATTTCAGTTTATAAAAATACACGGAGGAAACTTAACCGTACAACCTTTTACTAATTAGTCGTATTAATGTAATTAATTGATTGAAATAATTTCAGTTCAGTTTTTTTTCCAGAAATAGTTTTTTTTTTAATAATAATTAGATTATTGTAACTTGATACGCGAGACACCAAAAATTTTCACCGATGCATAGAATGTAAACTGAATCAAAATAATAACAGAAGTTTTATTTTAAATATATTCAATTTGATCGAATAAAATTACACATACTTGTTAACAAATAGATATGGCACTAGGGTTCTATCCTTAAATATATTACCGATAAATTAATCATCCTAAGCTTTCTACAAATTCTTAGTGTAAACTAGTATTTTAGATGCAAATACTGTTTCACTTAACTGTTAAAATACCATCATTAAGTAAATACTGAAGTATACAATTGATACAACTGTCCATTAAATGTTAAATAAACTAACGGTTAACCAAAATGATTTCATTCAAGACGACAACGATCTAAGTATGCATTGCCAACAGTTGAATTTTATATACATGTGGTGCATAAACCTAATTTAGTTTTACAGCATATAATTCACACAAATAATGCACAGCTCAATTTTATTATATTATTTGAATGTTAAAAAGTTTCAATGGTTTCAAAGCTAAGTATACAGTGTTTTTAATAATATCCATATATAATGCATTCATATGATATTATCACAATTATAATAAGTTTACTAAGCGTTTAATTGATACTTTTATTGCGGAGTATTCATATAGGCATTTGATTTGTTAATGAATATTCTTCAAAAGGCATCGATTTAATATTTTGAAAATAAATTGTACCAATTGATGTTATAATTAATTGAACTTTTTTGCGGCTCATTTGTGCGAAATGAAAGAAAAAAAAATACACATGTGCAAAACGAAAGCAAATCAAAATAAGTACAAAACATCATTTACCGTAATGACGTTTCCGAAGACAAGTCGCAAAAATTGTTTACCAATATCGGCCAATTTGTAATCAAAATAAATATTTTCTTTGAGAACCTAAAATATAATAAATAGCAAAAATCAATAATGCATTTTTAGGAACATTTTTTCTTATTATGTAAGCGCTTTTGTTTTAGATATAATAAGAACACTAGAGGCCACTGTTAGGACAATACCATATATGTTACCCCGGGGATCGACTATTAGTCACTGTTTTTGCTTCGTGCAATTATAATGTCTGCGTATAATACAAAATCAGTAGCTGACCTGCAAACTTTATAAACACGCGATAATCAATTTTTCTAATATAATATAGTTATATATGATAGATTAGCTCAATATAGACAGGATTTTGCGTATGCAATGTCTTCTATAGGTGTAGTTTTCTCGAGCAGGTAAATAAATCCTATGCTATCTATAATCCCAAGAGATGTAATTCAGTACGAACTGCCAAAGTACGCCAAGTACGTGTTGCCAGGTCCACATACCAAATCGATCGAATGTGTACAGTAAATTTTAGACCCGAACAACAAGAAATCTTGGCAAAACTGTGAGAACACACAATCATTTATTGATTTCTCTAAAAATTTCCTTAAAACAAAAAATTATCATTAGTTACAAACTAATATACTTACATTAATATTATACCTTAAAACTATTTCCTTTTGCAGTGTTCAAGTATTAACTGCTCGTAAGACGTTTTACATATATTGAATAAATATTAAAGTTCCATTTCAACGAAAAGAATTATTTAATTACTCGATAGATGGTCGATAATTTTGTTATTTAATTTTGGCTCAAACTGTAAAATTATGACGGGAAAAAATACAGCGAGCCAAAACAGTTAATAAAAAATGCCTATGTTAATATATTTTCAAAAACTTTTTTTAACTAAAGCCAATAAAAATAAACTAATCTAACAAGTTGTAAGATACAGATACAGAACGAGTAACAATTAATACAAAACTTCTCTTGGAAAACTTTAAATAACAAAACAATAAAAAAATATTTAATAAAAATAATCAAAAATACTTGGTAATTTTAATAAAACATCAGATGTTTTATACTATTCAGCATTTTAAGTTTAACTTTTTAAGATCTACTACATTAAACAAAAATATGTAGAAAAAACTAATAAACAAATAACTATTATCTCTCACATACCCACTCAAAATAATAATAAACTTATTTATGAATTTTTCCTTCGCAAAATTCTTGAATAATATTTTCCGAGGCCACAACAATAAATGATTATATGGCATTACACATAACATTATCTTTAACTCAAAGTCACGTGTGTACGATTGACAGATTCCAATAAACTCAAATCATTTAAGGCGTAACATATTTTTCTTCAGATAGAAAATCGTGGTTAGACCAATGAGAGTACGTGTCAGCTGCAATAACGTGCGCTAAAGTTGATTGAAAAAATGTCACCACCAAATATTTTTTTTTTTTTAATGACTTTGAGAAATGTATAATTGAGGTATACCCATTTTCAATATAAATACATTTAGTTATGCCGCGTTAAACACAACATACATTATTGTGTGAAATCTTACGATGTATTCTTTAAAAGTAATAAGCAATTTTTATATCATTTTCGAGAAAAACTTTTACATCTATCTCATCAACAGAATCTAAAAAAAATTGTTATTGTGGATTTCTAGGTTAAACATAACCAATAAAAATTAAAAATGTATTAGGAGTTTTATAAAAAATATAGAAATAAATTTTGACAATCAAATGTTAAAAATGAATAACTTTACATGAATTATTGTCTTACGCAGACTGTGGTAAAACACTAGTGTAATCTCTTTTAAATTTAGGTCGTAATGATAATGAACTTAAAAGACATTAATGGGCAATACGAGTATAATGGTGTTGATTTGTGATTAATTAGTTTTTCAAAAATACATTACTTCTCACTAGTAAAATAATAATTTCGGTAATGAAAATCTATTGTACAGATATCCGATAAATCCGACAAAGATTAATGAAGATAAATTATTACATCAGCACAAAACAATCACCATAAATAGTCATAGTACTACGTCGGTAAATACATAGAGGCGTCATGCACAGTGAAAAAGAGAATTGTGGCAACGTTGTAAAGAAATCTAATATCTAAGTAACACAAAAGAACGAGATGACAGGTAAGTATCCAGCGAGTGTACCACGACAATGGTCATAGTAGTTGATATGTATGTGCACAGAAAAAAACAGTGTAATTAATTCATACAAAGTTACTAATTTCCTAACTGATTTTTACTACGTTGACCGCTTTTTTATAAATGCGCATAAAACATTAATGTAGAAAAGATCATGCACACGAGAAGAAGAATAAAATGCGTTGTGCGTCATCCCACGGTCAAACACGTCGAACATTCAGAAGAAAGAGTTACCACGACTACGATGGACAAGAAGATTATTAGGACTCGCATCACGTGCCGTCGAGGGCAGTCTGTGGCAACGGAATGTGTAGCAGACGTTTGATTTTTTTTTTCATTTTTTCCCGTTTTTTTTTTTCGTATGCATATAAACAAACGTGTGACGAGGAAAAGAACAATTTAGAACTTTTAAATACCTCACCAGTGCAATGACATACCTACAATTTTGTGCAAACATTTTTGTTTTAGAGTTTCCACTAGATGTCAAAGTTTCAACTAACTATTATTTGGAAAGTCAAACGTCATAACACTTACTATGAAGTGTCTCGAAAGTTAGAACTTTGTGAACAGTTACATTCACATTAATCATTATTATAATACAGTTCCATAAAGATTTATAGTTTTATTTGTCTTTGTTCATTTTATGATACTATTTTGTATGCATAATAATGCTTTATAAGTTTATATAAATAGTTCATACATAATATCAAAACCCTACTAAAAATGTATAATAAACGCAACTAGGATCTTAAAGATATTCCTTTGATTTACAATTTTTCTTTTAATGGATAACTTCCAAACAGTAATCATTTCCGTAAAACATAATATTTTATACTAATTTAGACAACTATTAGTCGATAAAAATATAATTATAAAAAAGACAATCTAGTCTAAAAACATTGAAAACTGGCAACTAAAGTTTACGGTTAATTTAAATATACATATTATATAGTGGGGGTTCTCAGGGGATATGGAGGATACTCTCCATCCTCTTTGGTTAGATGATAGCAAGTCAAGAATATACAAGTACCTTATACACTATAAATGTAATTAAGTTGAAAATTTGTTCAGAATAATAACAATGCAAGTTAATGTAATTACTAAGATTTTTGCAACAAAAGAAAGATTTAATTTACTTGAAATATCCTATTATACTTGAATATTTTTTTAATTTTTAGAGTAAACAAGTAATATATATATATATACATGTATTAATAAAATTAAAGTCTCTTTCGCAATTATTTTTAAAATTTACAGGATTTTAAAAGTTATGATTAAACCCAACAAAATGTGTAATCTTGTTTACTATATTTTAAATGTGAGTATATCTTCAAACTTTTCTGTATTTTTAACTCACTTTGTACGTGATTTATTCCCATTTGAAGTATTATCTAACCTTACGGGTATATGTAATTCTTATATTATTCAACACATATTATTGAAATTAACTTTTTTCTTTCTTTTTTTCTATTAAATATTTATTACAACGTATTTAACATATAAGAGATTAAAATATTCATTCATAAAAAAAATCTTTATTTATTAACATTTTTTTCCAATGCAGTAGCAATAAATGTTGGCGTCATCTCTGTCGTTTCCGGAGAGCGTACAATTGCAGTTATCATTTATCTATCTCGAAGATGGTCGTTTTAATCAAAGGAGGAACTATCAGGACGGACACCACAGTTAATATCGTAGACTGCAGACGGACGACAGAAAGCAAACACATGCGTTTTGTATACCAACCGACGGTCGGCAGCCAAAAGACAACGGATAGTGTAGGCGCCGCCGTAGTGTTAATACGCCCAGTGCGGCGCCCATCATTTATTTATAATATTTAAAATTACTATATGCATAGTAAATCATATATATATATATATATATATACATATATATGTGTGTGTGTAATGCTTAATACTTGTTTAATAAAATATGTCTATAACGATAGCAAGAAAAACAAATGTACAAGTTGTAAAAAATAGAATGCACAAAATCAAACTGCAGTAAAGAAAGACTAGCGACGCATTATGCGTTACAATTGTTCCATAACTTCTTTATTACAGATATATCACTGAAAAAATATCTATAGGTTGTCTAGCCAATAGAATAAAAGTGTATAGGTTAACACTAAGCGTTATGCAATAAATCAGAGGGCGTGTGACATTACTGTGCTTGTTCACATTATTAAGTCTGCGACGAACATAACTTTTTTCAGCGGAACGTTTCAACTTACCATTCAATCATAAAATTTACAACCTGACATGAAAAATACACTACTAGTTTATTCATAGTTCATTGTTGCTTTTGTCATTACAAGGTGCGGTTTGTCGAGCAGAGGCTACGAACGCCACTCGGAGAGCCTCCTCGTTGCAGCCACCACTGATGCAGCTCAGAAATCACTATGGACGGAACCCCCGTCGCCACTGAAGCAGCAGACGGCGACAGGCGGTAAATGGCGCCGCTGCTGCAGGGTTATAATATTATTATCGTCTATCGTCGCTATTAACTTCACCGTCGCCAACTGCTCTCTGCTTCTTCCTCGCCCTAGAGACCATGTAGCAGGCACCAAAACCGTTTTTTTTTTCATCGAGCTTCTTTGGAAAAACAACCATTACTCTCTCATCAACAATACCCTCCTCCATGACCAGATATTAATTTCATATTTGGTTACTTTTTACTGTGCTTCTATGATATTACATAACTCCGTGAGTCAATTTACTAGTCATAGGTTACTAGTATTACATATCAATATACAATGTCAACAAATAGAAAGACAGTTATCAATACATTTGATTAATTTCAGAAAAGTTTAATAACTGTTTTTAACTAATATTGTTTTAACAGTAGTTAAGATTTGGTTTGACACCTTCGTATTTTTCTATCCAA